TAAAACATTACAATCAAAAGTTACCAGGTGGTCATGTCGAAACATTTTGTATTATATAACTGCACGTGTGCTAATTTGTATCCATTTCTAACAGATATTTCTTATTCGTTTATCTAAAAGTTATCAAAACTCGTAAGAACAAACTCGCAGCTAAAACGCCGTCGTCTCTTTGCAGAACCCTCCGGGTATAATGAGCGTGCTGGATGATGTGTGTGCCACCATGCATGCCAAAGGAGAGGGTGCAGACGGCACTCTGCTGCAGAAACTGCAGGCTGCTGTGGGGACGCACGAACATTTCAACAGCTGGAACTCGGGCTTTGTTATACATCACTACGCCGGGAAGGTAAGATTTGATTTTGTTTGCTCGATGTGGCGCTTATAAACCTCAACGATTTGTTTTTGGGGGTTTTAAGTGAAAATATGTGGTGTCATCGCAGGTGTCGTATGATATCAACGGCTTCTGTGAGAGAAATCGGGACGTGCTTTTCCCCGACCTCATCGAGCTCATGCAGAGCAGTGAATTGTGAGTTTCCTGTGCTGGTCTCATTGTTGCACTGAAGGCGTTGTTTTAAAAAAACAATGCATTAACAAAAACGTGTCTCTTTAGTAACTTCATCCGTAGCTTGTTCCCCGAAAACCTCAACACAGATAAAAAAGGAAGGCCGACCACGGCGAGTTCAAAGATCAAGGTGAGAGTTTTTGAATCTGTTGATGGTTGATTTTGTGCAGCAGCGCATTCGTCTCACGCTGTTGTTTCCCTCGCAGAAACAAGCGAACGACCTGGTGAACACGCTGATGAAGTGCACGCCGCATTACATCCGCTGCATCAAACCCAATGAGACAAAGCGGCCGAAAGACTGGGAGGAGAGCAGGTAATGCTCGCCGTCACGCTTTGAGGAAAAGATTTCACAGGGAACGTTTGCTGATCAGCGGCGAAATCTGTTTTTAGGGTCAGGCATCAAGTAGAATACCTCGGACTGCGGGAAAACATCCGCGTACGAAGGGCTGGGTTCGCATATCGGAGACTCTTCAGTAAATT